GAGTGGTGCTGAGCTGCTAAAGGCCAAAACCGTTCTGGAAGACCGGCTTGCTCCAAGTTCGAGCGCGTACCCTCTAGTACGGTGCGGATTTCCCGTTCGATGACGGCCTTAGTTTCATCCACGTACTCTCTAGAGGTGTTGTGCCTACATCGGAGTTCCTTCACAGCTGCTCCCAACTCCGGCGCGTTGTCAGAGTAAATAACCCCAACTTCGTCTTGCGTACCGAAAAAGTGCAGAAGGTCCTCATGCACTTGTTCCGATGATTTTGTTGTGCTTGGGTACACATACCTGAATTGTGAAAACACATCTTTGATAACAAGCGCCACCCTCTCATCCTGAAATCCAAAGTCCCTCAAATCTCTTGTCACGAGATGATCAATGGTAACATGATCCCCATACTTTTCACTGTGTATGGTCGAAGATCCCCCCTTTCTTCGAGCTTGGGGAGATAGCATCTTCGCCTTTTGGCACACTTTGCAGAATGGGTTCTTAGGACGATGGCAGAATTGATGATGGATGCTTTCGGCCTCGGCGCGAAGCCGGGCTTCTTGCGAAATTTCCCTTCCCTCATCTTCTTCCTTGTCACTATCGGGCTCGATTAAGGGGTCGTCTTCGGGTCTTTTGAAAGCAGTAATCGACAGAATTGGCGATCCATCAATCTTTTGATTTTTAACCCTTAGACTTCTGATGTCAACAGAATCCTCAATCTTGCTCCAAGCAGAGTCCTTGTAGATCCAAGTGGTCCTTAGCACGAACCTTGGATGACGAGGTGCAGGTACTCGCAAAGCCTTTGGCCGATGACCAATAATGATCTTTGATGCGGCAATTTCACTGCTAGTGATCCAACCTGGCTTGGCTAAATCTTTAGGCTTGATTGCAATTGGTGGTGCGGCATTGATTGCTTCTTCTATCTCGGAGTCGCTATGAACGACTCTTTCATCCCCGGCCGGTCCTCTCGGACGGCTTTCTACTGGAAACCCGAAGACTCGTCCTCCGCAGGTGCCGCCAGTTCAACCTTGACTGTACCGGCGTTAAACACCTGAGTTCCAGCAGATTTCTGGGAATCATCAGCACTTGCTGGGCTCGCTACCGAGTCATCATTTGAGATCACTGGGACTCTACCCTTCATCTTACACTTGATGACTTTACCATCGGGAGCTATGAAGTATGGAACCTTGCCCGCAGGCCAATGGAAATCATATCCATCGTCCATGCATCTTCTCCCAACAGAACAAACCGGTGGCGTGCTTTCCAGTAGATAGCACTCAATGTTTTGCTTCAGTTCAGGCATCGGGATGTTGGTTGACTTGATTCCCTGAACTGGACCATTAGCTGTAATCAAGTTGACCGGCCTACTAGCGTTTTCGATGGGAGCCTCTGGGTAGTAGATAGAGTGATCGTGCCTACTGATCAGATCTTCTTCACTGCCAGTATCGGCGAGGAATTCTAATCCCGCATTAAAGCTAGAGCATGCTGTTCTTTCAACGCTAGAACACAGCTCGCACTTCAACACTGCAACTGGGATCTCACCCTCTTCGCAGTCATCTGTGCACTCGTACTCACAGTGGCTTTCAATCCCATTGAGCATACAGGACATGATCCTGGCAAGCTCGTTCGCTGTTCTTATGGCCGTGCTTAGGTCCTGAACTGGAGGCTTTGGGCAACTTTCAGCATCCAAGTAACAAACTTCGAAAGTTCGCGGTTTGGTCCTATGCTTCTTACCCTTACCATCCAATGGAATCTCCCGAATGCTTGGCTTCTCCTTGAACCTTAGTTTCTTGAACGTTCCTGAAGCATCACCCTTAACGCCTTGCCCATTGGGCACAGCTGCCAGCGCATACGAAATGCAACAAGCTGCCGTGCGTCCGCCAGACTTTTCCTTGCTCTTGGACCTGCCCCTGTGTTTCTTTTCCTTCTTTGCTTTAGGATCCGGGGTCGGGCTCCTAGGCTTTTCCTCGTTCTTCGCAGGGGCGGCCTGCTCGGTCGGAGCGGCGTCAGTTGGATTGGGCTTATCTTGATGCAGGAACCTACAGTCTTTGCCTTTGTTGCACTTACCTTTCTTCCAAAAGGTGCAAATCGCGTTGATCTTCTTCTGAGGCGTTCGATGAGGACTTGGGGATCTTGACTTTGGTTTGTGGAGAAACTTACACTTGTCGCCTCTTGTGCATTTCCCTTTCTGGAAGTCGTAACAAATCTGTTGTGTTTTGGGACTCTGAGATCTAGGCGGTGTTCGTTGGCTCGATCCTTTGCTGCTTGTTCTGGATTTTGAGCTACTTCGGGACATGCTTCTTCCACGGCCTCCTCGCGAAGAGGGGCGACGTTCAGATCCGTACGCTGGGGCCCCGTATCTATCACCATGCGACTTAGCGATGCGATCACGATTCTTGCGCATACGCTCTCTAGTCAGATGCTCCCTAATGGCATTGACGAGGAATTCATACGTGTGTACGGGGTTTCCTTCTTTTGCCCTGTCGTACAGCTGAAGATCGTACTTGATGTGGTGGGATTTCCGAATTTCCCTCAGCAAAATGTCCCTCAAAGTAACCTCATCCGGAACATGACTCATTCCAGCAATCACCGACTCGAAGTTGTAAAGGAAGGTAGCCAAGTCGTCCCCAACCAACTTCACTTTTAAAAGGTCCTCTACGCTATAGAGGCTTCCGACTTCTTCATTAGTCTTAAAGTGTTGGTGAAACATCCACAATACTTGTCTTCCCCTGACGGCACGTCCTCCTGTGGCCTCTGTTTCCTTGAAGTTTAGGACTTGCCTTGAAATCTCTCCTCTAGCGACTCTGGTAAGTGCAGCCAACAACTTCGTGTCCAATGTTAAGAATTTCCCAGTGTCATGTAAGGACTTGAGGGTAGCCTCTTTATCATATACTTCCTGCACCCAGCGAAATGCCTCATCCGGGCGATCGCTCGCAGCCCGCACAATCTCGCGGACCGAGATCCGCCACGATCGGTAGGTCTCTGGATTAGGGTAATCGGGAAGCTTGATGCTTTCGGCTTCTTTCACCTTTGGTTTGCCCTCTTCATCTTCGGTCTTAGGGGTAAGCAAGCGTGCTGCCCTAATCAATGCCTCAGCTCCGAAATCAACATGTGGAACCCCGTCTGGATCAACAGTCGCCGGCTTACCGTTTGGGCAGCTTTAGGAGACTTTTCCTTTTGTGGCTCTCTGTTCTCAAACCCAGGTGGTACAGAAGTTCCTTGCGGAGGTTCCTGAGCTTGCGGCGTTCTTCCGAAGATGTCCTTCATGTTCTCGGGAATCTCAAATGGATTGGAGAACGGGATAGTAGGATTAGGTCCTGGCTTCGGCGTGGCATATTGTTTGCCCGCTTCGTCCGCATTGGCTTCCATTCTTAAGGCTCGTTCTGCGGCAGCCAGTTCATCCTGCAGTCTGTCGTTTTGTGCACTCATTTCGGCGATTTCAGTAATGAAACGCCGTTCCATACTCGCTTCGGTTTCTTCAAGGACTTGTTTGAATCGGATTCCAAGAAAGTCAAGATGTTGTGCTTTGTTGCGTTCGCTCTCAGCAATCAGAGTGGTTCTGAGCTTAGCGATTTCCGACTGATGTCGTTGTTGGAAAATTGATTCCAGAATGTTCATTTCATTCCTGCATGTTGCAACTTCGTTCAACAAAAACTTTTCCCTTTGGGATGCGTTGAACTCAAATTCCGCAAACTGTGCTTCGCATTCTGCCATCTTCACCTCGTGAAGGCGCTCGGCCTGTTCAGCCATGCCAGCCATTCTCACAAGATTATCATGCGATTGTTGGTTCAGAATGCTTGCGTGCCTTCTTTCAGCATCTGCCTCCGTTCGCTCTATTGCCATTCTTTGTTGTTCGGCTGTTTCACCCTGGTTCACAACATTGTACAAGGTATACTGCACGTTTGAGATGTCGACCGTTGGATTTGAGACAAATGGAGATAGGGTAGGACCCACTGGACCGAAGATCCTATCAAGTGCTTGGGATCCTGAGCTCGATGCCATAGGGCCCGCGCCAGCTGCTGTGAGTTGTTCATCAAGCAGTCGATCTCTTGTTTCGTCGTCCATCTCGTCCGATGATACTTCAGTTGTTTCTCCCTTCTCAGTAGTGAGCAGAGAGGGCGAAGTACTCATGTACCAGTGTGAATACCAGTGTAAGAATACCACGGAGACAAAGTCAGCGAATACGGCTGATAACCTATAGAATACACCAAAACCGTTAAGCCATGAGCGGTTGCGCTAACCTTTTACTCAGAGGGCTTGGGCACAATAGTCAGCGGTATATAGTACACAACATGATGACTGTACATGACCATACAAACTCCTACGCAAGCTGCGATGCAAAACTACAGGCGGCTCCCAATACAGACGGCGAATAAGAGAATCCTAATCAGCACGACCGTTAGGCTCACTTAAAACTGAGAACCTTTGATAACTCTTTGGGTTCATACGATGAAACAAACGCAAATCATTCCAAAGAACGAGCAGTAATGACAGACAGCCGCATATCGGCACCTCTAACTGCCCGAAAACCCTATTCAGAAATACCCACATTCGCTTTGGAAAGGGGCTTCTGTAAAGCCCTGACGGGGGCCTTGACAGTTAGAATAAGGCTCTGGGATACATTGTACTAGAATCATAAATGCACAATACTAAGGCTTCTTATTGCAGAAGCAATTCTGACGAACTTCTATGCCTTCAACCTAAATCCTGCAAGGTAAACCCCAGAACCAGCAGGCGAAACCATCAGGTAGAGGGAGGGTGTGCTCTGGTTGGTTCATAAAAGCACTAAGCAGACTTACAATTTAGGGACAAGTGAGTCTGGGTTTTGAGACTCGAGAGTTTAACCCTAAACCTTAAACCCTGGATTTTGGGGCCTCAGGGCCTCAGTGTGTAGGGGTTTATTAAACCCTAAACCCAATACCCTGAGGCCCTGAGGCCCCAAACTCAGCAACCTGAAGGTTCTCCCCTGCACGTGAACACCGAACTCTCACCTTTGGGTGCTCGCGAGGTGCACGCGCAGAAGGCGTCGAGTATAATGACAAACGCCATGAAGTTGGCGAAATATGGGCCTTGTACTTGGGTTTCGTGTTTCGGGCTGAGGGTCTATAGTTTAGGGCTTAGGGTTCTTGGCTCAGCATGTAATTTTGCGAATTCGCCTACATACTGCAAGCTACCAAGCTAGGGACTTTTGGTTAAAACCTTTCTTCTTTACTCTCATGACCAAGCTCAAGTTCTCTCAACAAGAACCCCCGGCCCTGATCACTGACAGCGCCGCAGGGTCTCTCGTCAGGGCTATCCAGGAGAATATAGAGGCCTTCATGATGAGAACAGGGTTTGGGGGTATATTATTAAGGTAGAAGCCAGAAAGTTGGAATATGATTATCCTAACCCTTCTATGGTAAATTATAGGGTTTCCTACCATGAAACCATATTCCAACTTTCTGGAGCTCCCTGTACGATATCTAGAATAAGGGACCCCCAACATAGCTCTACTAACCCTAGACCCTCAACTCCAGCATGCTGCAATAGATTGAGATTGTGTGCATCTGGGGCGGTGGGTCTCTGGGGTTCAGGGAACCTTATGATAAGTTTTAAACCGGCTTCTACATCATTTTTGCCTCCTTCAAGTGAAATAAACCTGGACCTAATTCCTAAGAACACTAAAGAGACGTGTGGAGATCCTACAGGAAGCTAGGTCAAGGTAACAGGGTTTAGAACCCTATTTAGGGTTGGAGGTTTAGGAGCACTAATCCTCCTTTTTACAGGTACTGGTACCAATGGTTACCCTTCGCACCAAACCCTAATCTCTGCACTTTCAGGGTTTAGCGTGTAGGGCTTGGGGACACTTAAGGTTTACGGCTTATGGACTCTTTTCTCGTAAGCACTGTAGATACCAGCATAAGCGGCTCTGCAAAACAATGTAATTGAAGCGCTCGCAGAACCCTGGCAACATCTTTCAAAGCCGTTGCGAAGCCATTCCTTAATTGTACACCCCTCGGTAGACTCTGCTTCCGTCAAAGCTTTATACTACAGACCCAGCCTTCAATTCGTCTAACCGTGCGCCCAACAAAAAGAAAACCTAGACCGCAAACATACGACAAAAACGCTTCAACCCGCAACCCTACAGACTAAGCCAAACCCTGGAACCCAAAAAACTCTTAAATCGTCCCAGCGGCTCTGGTAGATCTTTATGAGTCTGTCCACGAAGTGTTGTAGGGGTGCCCTGGCGTCTCCTTCTGATTCATGGGCGGTTCCAGCTCGGATGAAGTTGCCTGCATGGATTCGGGACTGGGGCCGGCCTTAAACCGTTATAAACCCTAATTGCTAAACCCCAAACCCTAAACCCCTAAACCCTAGACCCTAAAGCCCTAAACCCCAAAACCTAAACCCCAAAACCTACCCCAAAACTTAAACCTAAACCCCAAAACCAATTTTTTTTCAAAGTCTAAATCCGAAGCTCCCGAACCGCGAAACCCCAAGTTCACTCTTACCGCCCTCTCCCATCTGCTCGAGCTCCCGACCTCTTAGGCTAGGCAGTTCAGTAACCCACTTTCAAAAAGCATATACTCTAGGTACGGCCCCCTTACAGTAAGAGTCTATAACAGGGCTACTATTACTAATATATCTATATTATAAATACTATTCAACTATTACTGAGTGGGGGCCGTACCCAACATATACTTTTTTAGGCTTTTACTTTGATAGGAACGCAGAAACCTGAAAGTAAAAAAGTGTACCACTGAACAGCCTGATAGGGTTCAGGGTTTAAGGTTTGGGGTTTGGGGGCTTAAGGTTAGGCAAGGCGCACAAGAATATAGAGATCTCAGAAAAATCCATGAAGAATTTTGCTGGTTGGGTCCGGTGGCCAGCAAAACAAAAACTTCCGGAATACCGACAAGGGGCGTAATGTAGGGGCCTAAATAAGTAGAATAGGGTTTTGGGGTGTATTATACTCTATAACAGGGATCCCCAAAATCCCATTGCTAATTGTTCCGGCTATATTCAATAAACCAGATTTGTGCTAGAGCCAAAGAGCTCAATACTCCTGGTCTCGGGCGAGAAAGCTCGATGTCTTAAGCCAAAGGCGGTAACCACATCAGCGACGACCACAAAGCCCCAAAACCCTAAACCCTAAAACCAAAGCAGCAAGCCCGTCAACCCTCAGCGCCAAAAAATCCGTACCACATCACTGAAGACCCAAAGCCCATAAAGCCGCAAGCCACTCCCCAACCCCCCACGCCCCGCCCCCCCAAAAAGAATTCCGAAAGACATCAAAGCCGCAGAACCCTCAACTCTAACCCACACTGTGCGACCAAGAGAGGAATTACTTTGGTGTGTCGCGGGAAGCCCTGCAAACAGTGAAATCCTGAACCGACACGCCCAAAGGCCCGATACCATGCCTGTGACGGTGATGGGCCGCCTCCACCAACAGGCCGTGAGGTGTTGTGGCTTGACTGTAGGGCTTTGACGGATTAATAATAGACTAGGATTACACATAAGACTAAAGAGAAGTGGGACTAGTACGTAAGAGATTCGGACTAAAGAGACATGATTCGCGTAATATTTGGGCCTTAATGATTAGAATAGGGTTTTGGGGGCTACTATACTGTAAACAGAAAAGGAAGCCCCAAAAATAGTATAGGTAATTATTACCTTAACCTACCAAACCCTACCTGTTTGTAGGTTGTTATTATAAACCCTAGTATGGAATTTGTAAGGACCCTACCTTTTTGTAAATCTATAGTAACTACCCGGTCCGCCACGGCCGAACCTTCCCCAGAACGTGGCTCCCGCTATGGCCCGGTGCATATGGTTGCGCATAATATGGGAGTTTCCGAAAATTAGGGGTACCTTATTATTTAGGGGTCCTCATAATAAGGATCCTGCTATTTAGGGTACTATAATTAGGGTCCCCTGTTTTCGGAAACTCCCATATAGGGGCCTTTATACTTCGAACAGGGTCTTGGGTTCCTGTAAAGTATAGTTATAATGAGGAACCCGAGGGAATAATACTAGATTGGGAATTAGGCTTCTATATTACGTCGCAGATTTTACACAGTATCCGTCGGACAGATGCACTGTAATTCCAGTACATTGGCCACACTTTGACCTCGAAATCTCTCACTTTCTCCGATGCTTGGGAAGCATTGTGGTGGTGCTCCTGAATCCCGCCAATAATGTAGGAACCTGATTAAGAAACCCTGGCCCCTTGACCCCAATATATTAGGATCCATATTAAGAACCCGAATACGGACCCAAGCTTTCTTGATCAGGTTCCTACATTACGTGGGGGGAGGCATTTTGGCCGACAGGCTCTGGTGGTCTCCCCTTGGTCCCCTGGTGGTTTCTTTTTTGGTGGTGGTGGGGGTCATGGTCTTTGTGGGTCTGGTCTTCGTGGTCGTCATGGTCTTCATGGTCGTCGTCGCGCTCTAGACTCTGGGATGTACGCTGGCACAGTACTTGCCATTGGTTAGTAGGGAATGCAGGAAAGGGGTAGAACTATAACTACTATTAGTACCATTCTTCCATTCCCTACTAACCAAAGGTAAGAGTATATAGTTCCAGCAATGTTCCTTGGTGATTTCGGCTGTATAAGGCTTTCAGGTTGAGGCCTAGAGCCCGAAAGGGTAGCTTTGGACTCGAAAATCAGAACTAGAAGCTTAGGATTAGAGTTTAGGAGTCGGTTTAGGGTTTAGGGCTTAGGATTTCGGTGGGGCCGCAATGAGCCGAGGAACCACCGAGCTGAGCAAATTGGAACTTACTTTTTCTTAGTTTATCAAGACCAGGTGATCAAGAAGGAGGTCGGGTCTAGGTTAACGTTGGCTTTAAGGTTCGGACCCGTAGTGTACCCCTCACTTCAGTCTTAAAAGCAGTCTTCTTTGGGTTCTATTAAGGGGTAGCTCAGGGGGTCTACGGGTTCAAGAGCTGCGGTACTGGGCTTGGGGCTGCGGGTTTTAGGGCTTAGCGTTTCGGATTCGGGCTTAAGGCAGCCAAAGAAAAGTAGTCGAGACTGTATAACGGCTCCAAGAATGCAAATACCAAAGAAATGGTGCAAGCATGAGTGATCGCTACAGCTGCGAAACCCGAAGAAAGGCTTCTTGAAGACGAAGACCAACGAGAACCCTAAGTTTAACCCAAAACCCCTAAACCATAAGACAATCCTTCCTGACTGGCCTCTCCCCGTTGCCATCAAGGACAGGTTGAATGGAAGCTCGTCGTAGCTTCCTGCCGTAATCCGGAAGTCGGAGCGGGCTTTAGGGGTTTAGGGTTCGGTTTAGGGTTTAGGGTAGGGTTTAGGGTTTAGGGTTTATCCCAAACCCGAAACACTGAAACCCCTCGATCCCGAAACAACAAGACCCCTGAACCGAGTTATCAAAAGCCCCTAAACCCCGAAACAAAAAATCTTCAACCCCCTGTTATAGAAATCGATGGGGTTCTGAGTCGAATCCCTCCAATCCTCAGCAAATTGGGGACGGAGGTTTGGGGCTGGAACCCTGAACCCCAAGTCGTTTAATGTATATAGGGGTCATAATAATTAGAATAGGGTCTTGGGTTGTGCTATAATTATAATGAGGAACGGCCACAGTAGTATAAGGCTCCAATAAGTTGAGGATCTAAGGTTCAGTCTTTTTTGTCGGCTGACGCAGTGAGGTTGAGGTGAGGTCCTATAGTCTGCAGCTGGGAAAGGGAGTCGAAAAGCAAGAACAGGGTTGCCAAGGGGTATAGGGGTTAGGGTTGTAGGGTTTAGAGTTTAAAGCCATAACCCTAAACCCCAAACCCTTGAACCCCTGAACCCCTCAACCCTAAAACGCATCCTTTAAAACGGCTCCTTAGAAAGGGATGGGCTCCATTCGAGGACTTCGGGTTAAAACCCGAACCCTAAACATCCCTGAACTCTAAACTCTACCTTAGTAAGCAAGGAACGGGATCCATTTATAGGGTTACTTCAAGGGATCTATAGGATTTTTACGGTTTAGGGTCTACTTGGAGGATCATGGGATTTAGTAAGTAAGGTTTTAGGTGCCTTAATTGGGCTCTAAGTAATTATAAGTATAGTTACCTTAATTATAGCCCTAACTAAGTCCCATGACCCTTTAAGTACAGCCTGAACATTTGATTGGAGGCCAAAAGGGGGGTTTAGATTCTTGGGGTAGGCATTCCTTAATAAGAACCCGATTATGGGAACCCTAATCCCTGCTAAACCCCATAGGCTAAAACCCCTGTTGGCCTCCTATAAACATTACAACCTCAAATCCAAGACCCCAGGCGACACAGGTGCACCAAGCGGCGCGGGTTAGGGTTTAGATGAATTCAGGGTTTAGGGGTGTTTAGGGCTGCGGCGTATTCTGCTCGACCAGTGGTGCTTGAAAGATTATCCAGTGCAGTAAGCATGGTGTAGTGTGTCGAAGTGAGTTGAACCTGGGCTGGACATCCCCGAATTGGGATGACCATACGCACAACCCAACATACTGCCACTTACCAGAAGCCGCACGCCTAGAAACCCCATAGAACCCAGATTCTGGGGCTTGCGGGCACCCTAAAACCCTCGACCTACAGTTTAGGGATTAGGGTCCCCTATTTTCGGAAACCCCCTCATGTTTGGGCTTTGGTTTACGGCTGAGGATGGCGATCCCTCACCCATGAACGCATCAAGCCCAGACACTCCAATCCGAGACTGGCGGGGTTTTTTTTTTCCGAGGTGCGGCCAACCCTTTTTTTTCCGAGGTGCGGCCAACCCTTTTTTTAAGGTTGGACACGCAGGATCCCTGTAGAGGGTTCATCGGGGACGTAAAGAATTTGCGCCGCACCACAGCGCCAGCGCTTTGACACGCAGGATCCCTGTGGAAGGTTTATCGGGGACGTAGAAAACTTGCACCGCACCACAGCGCCAGCGCTTCGACGCGCAGGATCCTTGTGGAGGGTTCATCGGGGACGTAGAAAATTTGCACCGCACCACAGCGCCAGCGCTTCGACGCGCAGGATCCCTGTGGAGGGTTCATCGGGGACGTAGAAAATGTGCACCGCACCACAGCGCCAGCGCTTCGACGCGCAGGATCCCTGTGGAGGGTTCATCGGGGACGTAGAAAATGTGCACCGCACCACAGCGCCAGCGCTTCGACGCGTAGGATCCCTGTGGAGGGTTCATCGGGGACGTGGAAAATTTGCACCGCACCACAGCGCCAGCGCTTCGACGCGCAGGATCCCTGTGGAGGGTTCATCGGAGTTTCCTTGATGTCGTCGTGGTCGCCGTCCTGGTTGTTGTTGTTGCTGTTGCTGTTGCTGTTGCTGTTGCTGTTGCTGTTGCTGTTGCTGTTGCTGTTGCTGTTGCTGTTGCTGTTGCTGTTGCTGTTGCTGTTGCTGTTGCTGTTGCTGTTGCTGTTGCTGTTGCTGTTGTTGATGATGATGTTGTTGTTGTTGGTCGTGGTTGTTGTTGTTGTGTTGTTGCTGTTGTTGTTGTTGCTGTTGTTGCTGCTGTTGTTGTCGTTGGTTGCTGTTGTTGTGGTTGTGGTTGTGATTGTGCTTGTGGTTGACAGGGTGAGAGATCAAAAAAACTTAAATAAGGATCAAAAAACTAAAGCACCAGGATCAAAAAAAATAAAATAAGGATCGAAAAAAATTAAGTCACGTAAAATACAGCAATTCCTGGGGCAGAGGCATCAAAAAAAATAAAAATAAGGACCAAAAAATTGAATCACTCAAAATACAGCAATTCCTGAATTTTTCCAAGGGAAAACACTATTTTCCTATGGATTTTCTTTCATTTCCTTAGGATCGGTTTTTTTTCCTCGGGAAGACACGATTTTCCTACGGATTCCGTTGTATTTCCTGAAATTTTCCTTGGTTTTCCTGGGAAAAACACCATTTTTCTATTACCTCTGGCGTTCGTGTTATTTCTTCAGGTTTTCAGAAGGAAAACATACGTTATCTTTGGTTGTTCCTCGGGAAAATCAAATTTTCGTTACAATTTCGCATTTAGGACGGATTTCGTGTTGTAGCTGTTGCTGGTATGCCGCTTCATCACCTATCTTAAACACACCCCCTCATTTGGCGATTCTGGTTAGCGGGGGGGTTGGGGGGGGCGCAGCCCCCCCCATTTGCAGACACAACGCTCACATGATGGGTTTCGAAAACACTGTTTGAATCAAGCTTGCACGGCTCGAAAAGCGCGGCGGTGGGTCTTTCGTTCTTCCGTGCCCGTTCGTGTCTCGTCTTCCGTTAGCACTCTATAACATAATATAACATAGTAAACCATAAGAACGACATAAGATGGTTCGACATCACAAAAATAGTGTGACATTTTCTGACATAACAGAACCTTGCTTCATATAGCATCTAATAACATAACAAAAGACGACAATACAATATAACAGAAGTTATATAGACAAAACAACATCGTAGTTTATAGTGTAGTACATTGTAACATAGTACAATATAGTTTGTATATATAGAACATAATATTTAATATATTATACAACATCAGGTTACATTATGCTAAATATTTTATGGTCCATTACGATATTATGGCATATTCGATTGGACTATGTAGTATCCTATTGCTTGTATCTTTGTTTCCGTGATTCTTTCATGTTCTTTCTCTTTCGTATTTTCCAACTTTGCCTGTTTATTCTGGATTTCTTTCTTTCTTTCGCTCGTTCATTTCTTTTATTTCTTTCTGGTGTTCTTTCTTTATTCATTTCATACTCCCTTCCTTCCTTTCTTTCTTGCTTTCTTTTTCATTTATTTCGTTCTTTTTCTCGTCCTTTCTTTCTTTCGTCCTGTCTTCGTTTCTTTCTTTCTTTTCAGATACAGCAATTCTTGAATTTTTCCAAGGGAGAACACTGTTTTCCTATGGATTCTCTTCTCTTTCATTTCCTAAGGATTTGCTTGGTTTCTCCTCTGGAAGACATGATTTTCCTACGGATTCCGTGGTATTTCCTGAAATTTTCCCTGGTTTTTCCTAGGACAAACACCATTTTTCTATTACTTATGGCATTCGTGTCATTTCTTCAGGTTTTCAGAAGGAAAACATACGTTATCTTTGGTTGTTCCTCGGGAAAATCAAATTTTCGTTACAATTTCGCATTTAAGACGGATTTCGTGTTGTAGCTGTTGCTGGTATGCCGCTTCATCACCTATCTTAAACACACCCCCTCATTTGGCGATTCTGGTTAGCCGGGGGGGTTGGGGGGGGGCGCAGCCCCCGCCCATTTGCAGACACAACGCTCACATGATGGGTTTCGAAAACACTCTTTGAATCAAGCTTGCACGGCTCGAAAAGCGCGGCGGTGGGTCTTTCGTTCTTCCGTGCCTGTTCGTGTCTCTTCTTCCGTCAGCACTCTATAACATAATATAACATAGTAAACCATAAGAACGACATAAGATGGTTCGACATCACGAAAATAGTGCGACCTTTTCTGACATAACAGAACCTTGCTTCATATAGCATCTAATAACATAAACAACATCTTAGTTTATAGTGTAGTACATTGTAACATAGTACAATATAGTTTGTATATATATAGAACATAATATTTAATATATTATACAACATCAGGTTACATTATGCTAAATATTTTATTGTCCATTACGATATTATGGCATATTCGATTGGACTATGTAGTATCCTATTGCTTGTATCTTTGTTTCCGTGATTCTTTCATGTTCTTTCTCTTTCGTATTTTCCAACTTTGCCTGTTTATTCTGGATTTATTTCTTTCTTTCGCTCGTTCATTTCTTTTATTTCTTTCTGGTGTTCTTTCTTTATTCATTTCATACTCCCTTCTTTCCTTTCTTTCTTGCTTTCTTTTTCATTTATTTCGTTCTTTTTCTCGTCCTTTCTTTCTTTCGTCCTTTCTTCGTTTCTTTCTTTCTTTTCAGATACAGCAGTTCTTGAATTTTTCCAAGGGAGCACACTGTTTTCCTACGGATTCTCTTTCATTTCCTAAGGATTTGCTTGGTTTTTCCTCGGGAAGACATGATTTTCCTACGGATTCCGTGGTATTTCCTGAAATTTTCCTTGGTTTTTCTGGGAAAAACACCATTTTTCTATTACTTCTGGCGTTCGTGTCATTTCTTCAGGTTTTCAGAAGGAAAACATACGTTATCTTTGGTTGTTCCTCGGGAAAATCAAATTTTCGTTACAATTTCGCATTTAGGACGGATTTCGTGTTGTAGCTGTTGCTGGTATGCCGCTTCATCACCTATCTTAAACACACCCCCTCATTTGGCGATTCTGGTTAGCGGGGGGGTTGGGGGGGGCGCAGCCCCCCCCATTTGCAGACACAACGCCCACATGATGGGTTTCGAAAACACTCTTTGAATCAAGCTTGCACGGCTCGAAAAGCGCGGCGGTGGGTCTTTCGGTCTTCCGTGCCTGTTCGTGTCTCGTCTTCCGTTAGCACTCTATAACATAATATAACATAGTAAACCATAAGAACGACATAAGATGGTTCGACATCACAAAAATAGTGTGACATTTTCTGACATAACAGAACCTTGCTTCATATAGCATCTAATAACATAACAAAAGACGACAATACAATATAACAGAAGTTATATAGACAAAACAACATCGTAGTTTATAGTGTAGTACATTGTAACATAGTACAATATAGTTTGTATATATAGAACATAATATTTAATATATTATACAACATCAGGTTACATTATGCTAAATATTTTATGGTCCATTACGATATTATGGCATATTCGATTGGACTATGTAGTATCCTATTGCTTGTATCTTTGTTTCCGTGATTCTTTCATGTTCTTTCTCTTTCGTATTTTCCAACTTTGCCTGTTTATTCTGGATTTCTTTCTTTCTTTCGCTCGTTCATTTCTTTTATTTCTTTCTGGTGTTCTTTCTTTATTCATTTCATACTCCCTTCCTTCCTTTCTTTCTTGCTTTCTTTTTCATTTATTTCTTTCTTTTTCTCGTCCTTTCTTTCTTTCGTCCTGTCTTCGTTTCTTTCTTTCTTTTCAGATACAGCAATTCTTGAATTTTTCCAAGGGAGAACACTGTTTTCCTATGGATTCTCTTTCATTTCCTAAGGATTTGCTTGGTTTTCCTAAGGATTTGCTTGGTTTCTCCTCTGGAAGACATGATTTTCCTACGGATTCCGTTGTGTTTTCCAAGTTTTCCTTAGTTTTTCCTAGGAAAAACACCATTTTTCTATTACTTATGGCATTCGTGTCATTTCTTCAGGTTGTCAGAAGGAAAACATACGTTATCTTTGGTTGTTCCTCGGGAAAATCAAATTTTCGTTGCAATTTCGCATTTAGGACGGAATTCGTGTTGTAGCTGTTGCTGGTATTCCGCTTCATCACCTATCTTAAACACACCCCCTCATTTGGCGATTCTGGTTAGCGGGGGGGTTGGGGGGGGGCGCAGCCCCCGCCCATTTGCAGACACAACGCTCACATGATGGGTTTCGAAAACACTCTTTGAATCAAGCTTGCACGGCTCGAAAAGCGCGGCGGTGGGTCTTTCGTTCTTCCGTGCCTGTTCGTGTCTCTTCTTCCGTCAGCACTCTATAACATAATATAACATAGTAAACCATAAGAACGACATAAGATGGTTCGACATCACAAAAATAGTGTGGCATTTTCTGACATAACAGAACCTTGCTTCTTATAGCATATAGTAACATAATAAAGAGACGACGATACAACATAACAGAAGATAACATAGAACAAAACAACATCTTAGTTAATTTGTGTCCTTTCGTCTTTCTTTATTTCTCCATTTTCGTTCTTTCGTTATGTCTTTATTGTTTGTTTTTCTTTGTTTCTAACTCTCTTTCGTACGTTCCTTGTGTTTTCTTTTTGCTTTCCTTATAGCTTTCTTTATTTATCTATTTGTTTATTTTGACTGCTTTCTTTCCTTATAACTATTTTTTAATGTATTTCGTTCTTTCTTGCTTTCTTGCTTTCTTCCGCTCTTTCTTTGTTTCGTTCTTTCTTTCTTTTTCTTTCTCTCTCTCTTCTTCAGCACAGAGTCGTTCTTTCTTTCGTTCTTTCGTTCTTTCTTTCTTTCGTTTTTTTCTCTCTCTCTCTCTCTCTGTCTTTCTTTCCTCCGTTACCCCCCCTCCTTTCGTGGATACCTGTTTAATTTTTTGATCCTTATTTAATTTCTTTTTGATCCTTATTTTATTTTTTTGATCCTTATTTAATTTGTGTTTAACCCCTATCCCGTGGTTGTGGTTGTGGTTGCGGCTGTGGCAGAGGACTAGGGGACCGCATGCACCAGTGGACCAGGAGACCACGGGACCAGAGGACCAGCAGACCAGAGGACCAGGGGACCACAGGACCAAGAACCAGAGGACTAGGGGACCGCGAGCAGAGGACCAGGGGACCACAAGACCAAGGACCAGAGGACTAGGGGACCGCATGCACCAGGGACCCTTGGCCGCACCTCGCAAACAAGGGTTGGCCCCACCTTGGAGAAAAAAAAAACCATGGCCCTCCGAGACTCTGAACCCAAAAGCTTCAACCACTGACTAGGTTGGCCCTTTACAGCCTTTCAAACATGATCGTAAATAGGGTCCTATTGAGCGCAAAGAAGAGGAAAATAAAAAATATCCTAAAGCTCTACCTAGCTGAAACCCTGAACTGGAAAAGCCTGAAGCGCAGACGCCTCAAAATACTCGATTATGCTACGATTATCCGAATCCAAAGTACATGGTTACTGGCCTCACAATTCAGCGTGAGGGCTCAGGATTAGGTTCTAGGGTCTACGCTTTATTGTTGAGGGTGCATCCGAAAGGCAAGGTTGAACACCCGAAGCAAGTATGCCGGCATGCTGCCCTGCTCACCCCCCCAAAACCTAAACCCTAAACCCTACCCCCCACCCGTCCCTAGAAAAGCAAAAGCACTTGCCTCCCAGCATCACTTGGCGAAGGCGATGTCGGCGTCGCTGTCGGCGTCGGCGCTGTCGGCGTCTTGTTCACGCCGTCTTCCGTGTCCATGGTGCCGGACGTTCCGAAACTCATGTGTGGGGTTGGGCCAAGAACAGGTGGGGCAATGGGTTGGAGCACTGTGCCCAGGCTAACAGGACGGCATTACTTGGAGGGTCGGGGGACTTAGTAAGTAGGTAGTAAGTAGACCTATAAGTACCCTAATCGGGATCCTAAGTAGGGGTTACGATACTTGTAAGTCTCTAAAATCACTTTTTACTAAGTCCCCCGACCCTCCAAGTAACCCTCTGAGGCTGCACTCATTCCGTAAAACCTCATAAACTCTCTTGATCGCCTCACAGCTTCAAAAACGCCTCTCTGGCCTGACCAAGTGCATATCTATAGCTCTACGTGTACTTATACATGTTCCCTATGGCTCCAAATACCTAAATAGTAGGCTACTGGGGTATACAATATGGGAGGTTAGTAACCTACTATGCAGGTGACTGGAACCCTAAGGGGTTTTTTGCCTCCTATGCATGCGCAACTGCTTATCCAAAAGCCTTCGCCTTAACTTATGTCTCTGTGCATGTAATCTCTTTATCTATCTATCGTGGACGCGGGGCGTTCCAAAGGGCGGGGCCCTTTGAGGGGACGAGCGCCAGAAGCCAAGTGCCAGAAGGCTGCGGACGGAGCTGCGACGTGTGGCATCCTAGGGCAAAGACTCTCGGGGTCCGAAGTGCCTGAACGAAGAGTGTTTAGGATTTGGGGCTTAATATAGGGGCCTTAACAATTAGAATGGGCTTTGGGGGCCAGTTACACTATATTCATGATAAAGAACCCCCACAATAGTATAGGTAATTATTTAGGCCCCTATATCAATAGTTTGGCTACTTGGAGGATCATGGGACTTAGTAAGTAAGGTTATAAGTACCTTAATTGGGGTTATAAGTACTTATAGGTAGAGTTACCCTAATTATAACCCTAGTTAGTAAGTCTCATGATCCTTTAAGTAGTAGCACTGCAGGTAAGTACAGGTCCTTGCCCTTGGCATGCTTCAGGCAGGGCTCAAAGCGGAGGCTTTGGGTTTAGGGTTTAGGGTTTAGTCCAATAGCCCCAAATCACCGAAAACGTCCGGAGTCGAACGTCCTCAAGCCAGCAATGCCAAACACCAAAACGATCCTGGTTTTCGCATTTGATAGGATTAACAAGCAATATAGAGGCCTCCAGAATTAGAAAAGGGGTTTTCAGGTAGTATATACGGTATAATATCATATTGTAAGTTATGCTAAGGAGGCCTAAGGAACAGCATTCGTCATTCATCCAAGACACCTGGAGATCTCCCAAACCGTAGATCCGTTAAGGGCGGTTCCTCTCAAGCACCCGTTAGTAGTATGGGTTGGGTACTGCCCCCATACAGTAAGTGTCCATAATGGGGCGACGATTACACACCTAATTACCCTAAACCCTAAACTCGCTCCAGACCCCAATTCCCCTGAAGCCTAGAGGCTGAACCTTAAGGGTACCTATAGTCTCCATTGTAGTTCCTTTTTGGGGTTACCTTATAGGATCCTAATTATATATTTGGTTAAACCAAATAAAGGAACTACAATGGAGACTATAGGTACTGTACCGTTCTAGAATGGGGTTCCCCGGTTCCCCTTAGCGGTACTACAGGGTTCTACAACAGGGGACCCTTTAATTCTATAAAGGACGGTTTGAGGGCGTCCGGGTATTTCTAAGCACAATTGAGAAAGGTCCTAAACCCTTAAACCGCCACGCCAAATCGAAGCCCTCATGTAGTTGCAAGACTTGTCTTTGATTGAAGCGGAATGAACCTAGAGGGAACCAATACAATATGAGGCCCTTAAAGCACTTGGGTGCCTTCCTTCTCGGGTTGTTTTAACTGGCTTCTGTGTTCCTGTTAATACAAGCCAAATACGACGGGGGTATTTCCTCCTCTTGATAGAAAAGTTACCCAGTTGCAACTCCGCAGGGGTGAAGATTCGCTCTGAATAGCACCCAAAACTTGCTTAAATCATGCTACAGAGATTCTTAATGTGGCTTCAGGAACTTTCCTTGTTTAAATAAAGGGTGCTGGGCTCTCTGGGAACAGGGGTGCATCAAGCTTTGCAACGTTTGGAAGGCTTTTTGTGAATCCCACATACAAAGTCTAGAACTCATTTAGGATTCTGGGTTTCGTGCTCGAGGTTTGAGGCCACATGCGCAGTGTTTTTTGGGCCCAAAGTCTCGGTGGAGGGAATCCGCCCACATGAAGTCTAAACTATACCCCCCTTCGAACCATAATACAAACTCTCTTGGGGTTTATATCAACAAGAATTAAAAACCAATTCCTAAGGAGACTATAGTAAAGCTGAAATCACGGAGTTTTGGAAGATCATCCGGAACCTCCTGGAGCTGTGATAGACCATCCTCAACCCAAAACCCCAAACCCTAAACCCTAAACTCTAAACCCTAAGCCCTAAACCCTAAACTCTAAACCCTAAGCCCTAAACCCTAAAGCCTCATGGAGTTTTGGAAGATCATCCGATACGCGGCCGGGAGGACAAAGGCCGTCGGGAGGAGAGCCAGAGCCATCGGCAATGCCTCCGGTTTTTTGGTTCAGAGTTTAGGGTTTAGAGTTTACGGTTTAGGGCTTAAAGTTGAGGATTCAGGGTTTAGGATGTGTTGTTGTTCTGCTGCTTGCATGTTTGGGCTGTCCTTTGCCGACTATTCCAGATGTTAAACCCTGAACACTGGGCACCAATCCAAAAACTGGAACCTACATCCTAAAGCCCTGGCATTTCATGACTTGCTCACCCTGTAGCCCTGTAACCCTAAACCCTGCACACTCTGTGCCTTCCAGGGGAGCACGAGCAACGACAGGCCAACCTGTTGCATCACAGCTTCGCTTGGGATTTGAGTCTTACATTTGGGAGTTTCCGAAGATAGGTGACTCTAATGTAGTACCAATATAGTACCCTCAATTTTCAAAAAGAGAGGCTCCTTAATATAAGGACCCCAAAATAAGGTACCCCCCAATTTTCGGAAGCTCCCATTGAGGCCCTGCGGGCTTCGGGTCGGAGGGCCCCCACCCTAAATGTCACACTCTCAAACCGGTACAGTTTAAGGTTCAGGGTTTAAGGTTTAGGGTTTAGGGTTTAGAGTTTAGGGTTTAGGGTTTAGGGTTTCGGGTCTCTCAAACCGGTACAGTAGAAGCCAGAAAGTTGGAACATCATTGCCTCATGCCCTTAATGTAAGGTAGAGGGAATCCCAGCACTATTCATCCTAAATCTATGTTCCAACTTTCTGGGTTTCACTATAAACCCGGCAAGCCCCGAAGCCCTCAACCCCAAACCCTAGAGATCCAAGGCCTCATATATTGAGGCTTTTGGGCCCAAGGACCATACTGTGTAAGGCTTTGGGGGCTATTTGGATCCCTAGGGAAAGCCCTCAACTTGGAAAAAGTGCTGGTTTCGGGTTGAGTTGTCCATGTTGGGAGAAGCCTCTTGTGACATTGGGATCTTGGATATCTCTTTGATGACAGTGCTAGCCAGCGAGGCCAGACTGAGATTAAGGCTTTTGGGGGTTTGGGGTTGAGGGTTTGTTTAGGTTTAGAGGCTTGGGGTTCAGGGTTTGTTGTGTTTTGGGTTTTGGGTTCAGGGTTCGTTTAGGGGTTGTTAGGGTATAGGGTTCAGTTCGCTTAGGGATTTAGGGGATTGGGGTTTCGGGCGTAGAGTTTAGGGTCTGGCCCTAGGCCCCAAACTCGGGCAGCTCTCTCGGATCTCCACCGGGCATCCCAGGATTCAGGCCTCTAGGGGCGCTGGAAGGCTCAACTCACACCATATTCCCTGACCCCTAAACCCTAAAATCGAAACCCTAAACCCTAACCCCTAAACCCTAAATCCTACACTTTAAACCCTGCTGCCCAGAGTCGCGAAAGGCCCCTTCCTGTTTGAATTCCTCTGTGCAGGCAATCCCAAACTCTGGACGCTTAAACATGGCCCAGTGATCCCCAAACCACTGAATCACCTTAAAAGCCTCCACCTTCGATTTCTTGGATTCAGGACGCTGGAAATGGAAACCCTAAACCCTAAACGGCCCTAAACCCCTGAACCCGAAAACCGTTAAACCCTGAACGCCCGCCCCTAGACCGTCAAACTTGCCATCGTTGAAGACTGCCTTGTTGAAGCCAGCACTGAGGGAGGTCATGGGCAAAGCCGCACCAGCACCTCCGACCACAAAGTACTTAAAGGGTCGTGGGACTTAGTAACTAGGGTTATAAGTAAGGTACCTATAATTATAAATACATGTAACCCCAATTAAGGTACTTATAACCCTACTTAGTAAGTCCCATGATCCTCCAAGTAAAGCTTTCGGGTCTTCGCACTCTTTTTGGGGAAGATCCCAGCGGCCCAAGAGGGAAGATTGAGGCCGACTCTGATAATAACGAAGCCTTCATACTGCTGATGGACAAAATCCTGCATGACCCTAAGGACTCTAAACTATGGGAACTATGGTATATTCCTTATCATGGGTAATGCAGGATTCTGTCCATCAACAGTAGTTGTCAAAATTAAGGTCCTTCTTGGGTACCTTAAATACTGGGTGTGGTATTGAGGTCCCTTTTGGGGTCGTAAGTACTGGCAAAGGGTTCTTTGCGGGAACCTCCGGATCTACTGTTTGCCTCCTCCCAGATGTCTGGGCTGAGGTCAACGCGTCTTTTACTGAACTTGGGACCCCTGGCAAAACGTATGATGTTTTATCTGTTGTTTAGGGGTTGTAGTATCCCAAAATTAAGAAATGTTTCTAAGTGTCCCCTGCGAAAGTCAAGATAGTTGTAGGAAATTGACTGGGCATCTCGGTACCCATACCCTCTATGCGAGACTTACAGACAGAAGTCCGCGTGGCACGAATTTAAACTGTTTAACCTGGGTGCCGATTTCAACATCCCAAAACTATTTATTTATAACTCTGGCTCTAGACGAAACCAAGAGGGAAGTTTAAAAACATCCCAAATCGATACGTAGTTCAGGGTTAAGGGTTTGAGGTTTAAGCCGAAAAGCGCGGGA